AGCTCCTTCCCTAAGCCAGGGGAAACGGGAAGGAGAAAAATCCTGTAGGTCAGCGCGGTAGGCCTGATGTTGAAGTGAACCATTACCTTTTTACTAAATCAAAGCTTAAAAATGAATTTTAACTTGGTTTCTGAGGAAAAACTGCGATTTCCATATAGCTGCTATTCCAAACAAAAGCCTCCCAGACTTCAGCCACTGCACAGCTTGTACCTGCTAGTGTATCTTGCTTTCTCTGTGGAAAATAATACAGAATAATAAAGTTTCAACATCACGTAGTATTGACGGCCTATTAGGTTGTATCTCTTGAATAAGTTAGTAGGAATAAAAGCACCTTCATACAGTTTTGGGAAACTCTTCGTAATTCTCTCGACAGCAGGGTTTGAAAGCATTTCTTGCTATGAAACAAGGTTGTCAGATTAATACTTAGATCTTATGCCAGGAGGTTGGCAAGCTTATGTTTGATTTCCATAAGTGGTAGAATTCTTTTATAATTTAAAACATCAAAAATAAAGATTATATACAACAAACTAGTGTATTAGAGAGTATTGAAAATTATATAAATGAAAGTCCCTGATATTTATTGACAATTGCAATACTGTTAGAGGTTAATTTTTAATTTGCTTTTGAAAAGAGATTTAGTGGACATGGAGCTGAAACAGTATTTAGCTAAACTGTTCAAATTTGAAATCTGTAATAAGAAATGGGTTTGCCATGAGTGGTGTCTCATACCACTTCATTTTTTCCTGAAAGCAATACAGGGCCACAACCCATTTGTACATGTCAAAAACCCAGAAGCAGATCTTTAAAAATCATTGCCTCTTACAATTTTCACTCAAGGCATGGTTTTGTTTTCCTTGTCAGAATTCATGGTAGTGCAACCAGGTGAAACATAACACTTTTAAACTCAGCTCAGCTTTTGGTGTTTGTTTGCACTTGTGTATTTCCTGGTATCAGTGGACCAGTGAAAGACAGTGAAACTGTGACACTAGAATACTGTGTCCTGAAATGGTGAACCTTTTATATTTTCACTTGCAGACAAAATACGGGACCTTATTGTACTCCCACTGTGCATTCAACTTTTAATTGGGGTTTTAGATTTATAACACTTCCGTGTTTAATTGGTGAGGCAGTTCTGACTCTTTAAAACTCATTTTTCTTTCACAAACTGTTTCAGTGTCAGGTTTAATAGACTGAGTAAAAATGCTGTACAGTAATTGCCTGTAATAATCATGTAAGCCTTAAAAAGCAAATTATCAGAGAAAACATCCCTTTGGGTGAACACTGCATTGCTGGAAGTGTACCAAAAAAGAAAAGTATTGGGCAAACGTAAAAGCAAGGCTCCTTTTATGGATATCTGGAAATTTCTAAGCTATATAAGCTGATTTCAAAATTTGGAAACAGAAGAAAATGAAAGAACTCCAAATGAGTTTGTTGTTATAATGTCATGGTTGTTTTTTAATTTTAGCCAGATAGACAAATGTGGCTCAAAGGCTAACCTCAAATCCAGCCTGGCAGCTTTGGTGGGGTTTTTTTGGGTTTTTTTTTTTTTGGTCAAAGTATGGTTTATTAGAAATGGAAAACACTGACAGTTGTTTTTAACCTAATCCATGAACTAAATTAATCAATCTCCCATTGAGAGGAAATAAGATCACATGAGGTCACGTGTTTAGTTTAATTGTGATTTAACTGAATAATTTTTGAAGGGCGCATATCACAGGCACTGGTGTTTGTTACCAGAATCTAGTACTTCAAACTTGGGCAGTTCTATCCGTACATGTTAATAGGCATTTGAATTGTAAGTCTCCTGCAGTTACTTATCTCATTTAATAGCTTCGTTATTCTATGTTTTAGAATGTTATCTGTTACGATTAAGAAAACCACATAACCTTTGCATTAACATTACTTCCAAAGGGATTCACAGGACCTGATGGCTCACGTGGAGCCACGGGACCAAAAGGACAGAAGGTAAGAACAAAATTATGTATGAAATTATGGGATTTTTTTCTTTTAAGCAGGATTTTTGTTTGTCTCTATGCAACTAATGAGATGCTGCAGCCTTTCTTACAATATTAAAACATCTATAGAATACAGACCCATTGGGCCCTTTTCACACAGTACAAAGCAACTTCCATTTCCCCAGCCAGCAGTAAGGAATGGTGGCATTACAGTGCTGACATGAAGGTTGAGCATCTTCAGTAATGGTGAGGCTCCTTCCATCTTGTTGTACTGTAATTATGTCATAGTAATACGCAATGGGAACCAGAACAGAGAAACCTGACTTAATCAGCAATCAGACAAATGTAATGTACATCAGAAGTCAGAGCAACCACTATATTTGAATTATTTTTTTTTTGGGAGGGGGGAAGGGCCTGAGGCTGTATCTTTTTAATATTGAGAAAGTCTTTCCTGTCTATCAAGTCTTCTCTCACTGAAACCAGCATAGCGTTAATGAAATGAATAATACTTGCAGAGTATGTCCACTAAATGATACCCTTCAAAAAGTGAGAGCATCCTCCTGTATGTTGTTTACAAAACTTTATGCTAATGCTTCTTGAAAAACTAAACTTTTATCTTTTAAAGGGTGAGCCAGGACTGCCAGGTGCTCGTGGTCTTCCAGTAAGTAATACATTCAGTATATGAAGAAGCTTTTTAGATCCTAAGTATCAATATGAAGGATTCTTACCATGAAATGTAGTGAAGAAAAGTCAGAAACTATTTATGATGTTTCAAAGAACTCATAAGATGTTAAAGTAGTACATTAAGGAATGTTTTTGTCTTACATCAAAGTGTGTGGATATTACTGAAAGGGCATGTTTGGTTTGTACGCTGTAAAAAAGAAGGGAGCACGTGTGATGTGGTCACAACTTCTGGAGACATACTGTTGTTTTCCATTGCTTTATGAAAATGATGTAGAGACAGGACAGCCCACGCTTTATTTGCATGAATTTAGTCTACAGTTATTCCTGTTTCAGCATCTTGTCATGTGTTTAAATGGGATCACTGAAGTGTAAATGCCGTATGGGACTTCTGATGCTATTCCGTATGAAAACAAGATGAAATATGAGAAAGGACGTGTGAAGAGTAGTGGTCCAGGTAGCATGCAGATGGATTTAACATCCATCTTTGGCAGCTGAAAATAATAGTGAATTTTAGGAATTTTGCAGAGTTGAAGAACTGAATGTTGGTTGGCATGCAGAAACTTAGATTATCGTGGAATCGTAGAATACAAGCTTGGAAGGGACCTCAAGCATCATCTGGTCCAACCTTTCTTGGCAAAACCATGGTCTAGACAAGGTGGTCCAGCACCCTGTCCAGCTGAATCTTAAAAGCTTCCAATGTTGGGGAATCCACCACTTCCAATGGCTGATTGTTCTCATTGTGAAAAATTTTCCTCTTGTCTCTAGTCAGAATCTCTCCAGGAGTAACTTGTACCTACTACACCTCACCTTTTCCATGTGACCCCTTGTGAAAAAGGGAGTCTCCATCTTCTTGCTAGCCACCCTTTAAATACTGGAACATGTGATGAGGACTCTCCAAAGCCTTCTTTTCTCAAGGCTGAACAAACCCTGTTCTCTCAGCCTTTCCTCATAAGGCAGGCTTCCCAGTCTTCCGGTATCTTTGTGGCCTTTCTCTGGACCCTCTCCAGCCTGTCCACGCATTTTTTGTATATTATATAGGAAACCAAGAAAAACATCATTCCATTACAGTGAGTAATGGAACAAGATGACTGACATGAAATTGTAATAACGCTGCATTTAATTAAAAATTAGATTAATTTTAGAGAAATCATAGATAGAAGAGGCATTGTATTCCAATATAGCACTCGTTGCTGTGAAATTCTGCATCTTCGACTGCATCTTTGTATTTTTGACCCTGTCTCATTAACTTCAATGAGATTTATATTAAACGATCATTTCGATATTTGGCCAGAGATCAAATTGTAATGTTATTCTTGAAGATGTTACATTATAGACATGTTTGCACTTAAGATGAATCATTTTATATGGACATCCGTTTCATGGATACTGTTTCTTACCTTAAAATCTGGAAAGTAGTAATGCTTTTATAATGGCTGGTCAACCTCTAGGCTCAATATATGAGCCAAATTTAGTCACAGAAAATAGCAGAACTGAGGTACCTTCTAGGTAGTTTGAAAGCCCTACATCTCTCTGTTACAGGTTTGAGTTTCTTTGTCATTTTTTGCTGTCAAGTAGATGGGGAAATAATTTCTGGGTCGTTTGCAATGCATTTCAAAATGTATAGTTGGAATGAAGAGATAGCTTAACTTTGTCAGATATGTTGCTCAGATGATATGGAAAAAAGTGCATGAAAAGAACTACTATGGGAGAGGAAAAAATGGGGAATTAAAATTGAATTACTGGACTGCTAGGTTAAAAAATGTAGTATTTTAGACTGCCAACTGAAATAAAAACTGACTTGGGGAAAATATGCATGATTTTACCTTATCATTAACAGACTAATGTGAGAATGAATAAATTAAGTGCCTTCAGGAAAAGTGGGTATATAAAATACGCATAAAGTGGGTTAAGCTCAGCTTAGAAGTGGAGATGTTACTATGGGAAAGCAGCAAACTGGACCAATTTGTCAAGGTAGAATGCTGATTCTGTTCAGAGCAGCAGTTACCTCATTCAGGTCTTTTGTGACCATAATTTGAGACTGTAAAAGCAATAAATCTGATGAGATTTTTGGGCCATTGTTCGAAGTTTAGCGATTTTTGTTTGTCCTGAGACTTTCAGTCCTGAAGTGATAACGCTTCAGTGAACCTCAGCAGGGATTGTCTTTGGAGTTGTTCTGCCTCTGCTTAATGAGCAACTGGACCTTGTATTTAAAGGTGAATCTACAGGAATATTTATAATGAGGAAACGAGAATTCTTGGTTATTTAAGGGTAAAGAAAAGATGGATATACTCAGTCACCTTGTGTCGTTACCCTTGTAATTATTAAGGTTAAGGTTAATCCTTAGACCTCACATTTTAGAAAGAAGTCTAGTGTTTGATTTTGTAGCTCTATGGTTGTTAACCCATATATGTTGAATCCATATGGAAAGATTAATGCTCAAAATAAATCTCTTGGAGAAATGCCATTTGCACAGGCTTTCCTTTTGATGAATGGCTTTAAGCTGCTGAAGAAATAGAGCAGTTAATGGAAGTTTCTCAAAATGGACAAGACTGGTCATTGGAACTTCAATGAGATTAAACTCAGAGTAATGAAACCTAATTAAAAAAAAAGAAAAAAGAAGGCTAGAAGTGGTAGTGCTGGGGTGTGATGGTCCTAATGCTCAGATTCAGAGACTTTTTGAGAAGCTTTTACTACAAGTATGAAGTAATGGGTCTGTTTAACCTTTGCAGGTGTTTGGTTTGATCTGTGAGACCTTGTTTACTAGAAAACCAGAGATCACACTTATGAGTCTGCATACTAGATAGGTGTTTGAGTATACAGGTGTAATTATGCACTGCTTTGAATTCAGTCAGTGGCCTTTTGCAAGTGGAGTAGTCTCTGGATGGTTATCCAAAGGCTTCATTTCTCACAAAAAAACCCTTGCTGAAGCTGTTAAAGTGCTCAGTGCAAACAGAAAGTCAGAAGCCTTTGCTACAATGTTAATTAGTTTTAAATTATTATCACCGGTTTTCAAGCTCATCCAGTGGAATTTATTGGCCAAGTTAGGACTTCAGGGTAACTGAAAGAAAGAATATTAAGTATCTAATTTTTTATGTACAGCGTTTGTTTTTCTGCTTCTGTCATCCTTTCTTCCCCAGAATATATTTTGGCAATCTCCAGTTATCTTCTTTTGTTCTGCCTTTCCTGTATATTTTCCTTCTGCATCGTTTGGCTTTAATTTATTCTCTTTGTCTCATCTCTTTTGTGGATAGTGTCTCAAATGACAGATACAAAATTAGTAGAATACTTCTGATTAATTAAAATAATTTACCACCAAATATGCTGATGCCTCTGATCTGGACCTGGTAAATGGACCCGTGGCTGCTACTTTCCGTGCATGTATTGTCCTCTTTGCTCCATTCTCTCTCAGTTAAATTTCCTCTAACTGTTTTATTAGCTGATATGTTGCCAGTGGTTTACAGATTGGACATATGGGTAGGATTGTGTGTATTTAGTGACAGAGAATTTAAAATATTTTAAGGTCTTCTAAAGTACAGCTTCCGGCACAGGGAACACATACAAATACTGGTATATGCCTCTTGGTGGTGGATGGCAGCAGGTCCGCATTGGTGTGCTCCATGGAACAGATAAGCACCTCCAAAGCAGGCATTAGGCATCTGGGAATGCAAGGCTGCAGTCCCAGGCTGTGTGGAGAGGCTTTCCATTTAGGGCACAGGCAGAGACAGGAACATGGGCAGCTGGTTGGGATCATTAACTGCTCTGTCTGGGTTCTTACTGAGTGATTGCCCTGGAGCCCTCATCTTTGCAACTTGGTCTGCTTGCAGGGAGTTCATGGCCAGAAGGGTGGAGTAGCTGGGTGAGGGGGAGGCATGGATTCTTGGGGGACAACCCCTGCTTGGGAGAGTGAGAGGAGTTGCAATGGAATGGGCAAAGGCATGGACTGGCTTCTCCTGGGCCTGTGTGTGGGCTGGACACTGTAGCTGCTTCTTTTCGTATCAGTGACTTACCTGCCACTGTTAGGGGCGCGTTAGCAAGGGGGATGGGCTCCAATGGGAACCTGCAAGTGGTCGGTTTCCTTCTTTCAGAGGCAGCTGATATTATTGTATCAGATATGTGATGCAGTGAAAGTATAGTCGAATATAGACATGTACAATGCAGCAAGGGAGTGTTAAGTGATAGCAAAGGAATGATGTCAGTTATGCAAGATGAAAAAGTTTACTTTCTGCTGTCTGAGTCATTTCATTTTAACCATTTAATACAAATGCTTGAATTTTTCCTCGTTTTATACCATTTTCTAAAGACAACCTTGCAGATATAATCCTCGTATGATACTCTTTTAAACTCTACTCAGCCCAGACACTTCATCACATCAAATCTCCTAAAGATTTAAGTATGTTTGTGACTTTATATGCCAGTGTTTCATACACATCGTTGTCACTGTTCTTCATAAAGTTATCTGTTTGCTTTAGGTATGCAAGACTGAGGGATTGATCTGTTTTCTTAGAGGGAGTGTATTGTCCAAATGGGCAGAAACACATTTGTATCTTGGATACTTCTCATTAGAATGATTCAGAGAAATACTGATGGAAAATGCAAACAGGAGCAGTTTGATCTTCTTTCTGATTGCCAAAAAGCACTAGTTTAATGGATTTAGACCCTGCAGGAGCACAGGCCAAAAAAAAATAATTCTTTTATTATCAATTTAAATGCACTGTTAGAAGGAAATGATTATAGCATAGATATGTTTATCATGGTATTTCATAATTAGCTAAACCCAAAGGCTTTAATGTCTTCATTCCTTTGTGGAAGTAATGTATGTGTTTGTAAATATGTGTAAATAAATGCTACTTCAGGGCAACTTAATCAATAATTTATTTTTTTCCTAATATTGATTGCCTAATAGTAACACTGATATTAACATTAGTTGAACAAGTTTTCAAAATTATTTTGCAGAATCAAACATCAATTTTTTTGGTAACTTTTTATCCCAAATACTCTTGTTAGCAAACAGCTTGACTAAGTGTGGAACCCTCCCCACATTTCTGACCTTTTTTCCCATTTCACAGGGCAAGGGCCTTCTTGGACCACCTGTAAGTATAATTTTTACAATTCATAAATGTACTGTTTAATGAATCTGTTTAAATATTAAATAAAGCTGTTATACTGTAATAAAAAGTAATTAAGTGAAAAAAGAGACTGTTTCAATGTCTGTTAGGTGTGCTTTCTTCAACTGCTACTGAGGTTTCTTAGGTCTATTGTGTATGGTGCAAGAATTCTGGTGTCTAAAGGCATGGTTTGTTGTTTGACAGAATTACATGCTCTCACTCGTCGGATGCTTGTTATAGAGGTATTGTGTGGTCTAAAAATACTATTTAACTTGGTTATTATAGGGTCCAGCTGGTGCAGCAGGGCTTCCTGGGGAAGTAGGTCGTGCTGGTCCACCTGTAAGTACTACTGTGTTTGCTAAAAATGTAGGTGTATTCAATTGCTCGAAGGTACTTTTAGAAAAAAATGAATAATTACTGTGCTGTCTAAACACTATTTGGGTTATAACAGCACCTGAAAGCATGTTTTTTCCTCTGCAGTAATCACTGGTAGAGGAAAGATTGTGCTTGAAGCTCATCAGAAATAAGGAACAATTAATACCACAAAGTCAGGGCCACCCATTAGATTAGAATTAAATGTTTCTTGTAGTGTTCTGTATGCTACTTCTCGTCTTATTCAAGGAAAGGTAGAATAAAAAAGCAAACCTACCAGAAGTACAGGAAATGTAAACTTAACATTACATGCAGACCTTTAGCTTTACTTCTGACTTCTTACATGTACATTATGGTACATGACCACATACTGTTTTAGTGAATGTAGCAATTCAGTTCTTCTTCTTAGTCTTATTTTAAGTGTGACTCCATATACTGACCTTACTGCTAAACTGTGCAATCCATTTCAGCACACTATCATATTTTGACTCCTGAAAGCAATTGTTAATTTACTTGAAATCTGAAATAGCATTAAAACATTGTTTAGTGAAGCCTACTCTTTAATGTGTACCTTTCTGCGTGTGTTGCACTCAGTCATACAAATGAATATAAAAAAGAAAAGTAAAACCTACCAGTTTATTTCAGAAGTTGATCCATCTAGCTTGCTGTCTTGTCTGCAGCAAGGGCAGTGATGGATACCTAGGGAAGTGTACAGGCTGTTTGTAAAATGACATTTTTCTCTCATACTGTCTCACATTCTGGTGGTTGGCAGTTCAGAGACTGCCTGAATCAGGAATTGCATCTGTGCTGCCGTTTTCAAAAGCGGTATTTGAACCTGTCCTCTGTTAATGTAGTCGGTCCCTTTTTGAATCCATTCACATCCCAGGCTTCCACCGCACATTGTGATAATCAGTCCCACAATGTAATTGTACATTGTGTGGAAAAGAAATATTCCTTTTTACTGTTTGTGAACCTATGGCTCTATAGGTCATGTGTTGTGAGAATTGGTGAGTAATTTTTCTATATTAATCTTGTTCATTTAATTTATGATTTAATAACATATCAAAAATAATATTGAGATGACAGTATTATTAAGTTAAAAGGTGATCCCTGACAGATTTATTTTATTATTATATAAATTTATTTGAATTAAAAGCGTTCATAAAAAATAATTTGCAGAGGTTCTGTGTGGTTTTAATTCTGAAAGCACTGGACATCAAAACTTCACAAACAGGAGAAGATTCTAACTTGGTAAAATAGTGTTGGGCTCTGAAAAAGGGGAGTTTTTTCCCTCTCTGTGCCTTGGGCATTTTTGCCAGTTACTAGGATTCTTTTAGTTCAGAACTTAATTAGCAGTTATAAGATAGAGGAGTGCATAGATGATCCTGTGGTCAGACGCTTCAGCTTTCTAAAGCAGCTGAAAATTTGCTGTTTTTTTCATGACTCCTGTTCCACAGCATGGCTCCCATTCTACTGAAAAATCCGTTTTCCCTTTCTACTGTGGGAGCCGTGTTGTGGGTTGGCATTTTAGTTGGCTACATAGCCCTTCCTTCTGTAGCTAATTAATTTCTCACTGTTGTTGTGAGGTATGAATATGTAACTGCTGGTTGTCATTATTACTATGAATTAACAAAATTATTTTACCCTTTTTTAGGGAGATCCAGGAAAAAGAGGACCTCCAGGGCCACCAGGACCACCAGGTCCCCGGGTAAGTGATTACCTTTAACATCTGCTAATGTCTGAATTATGTACTGTGGCTGCTTGAACAAGACTTCTCCTCAAGTCCTACAGCTGAGTCCTACAGCTGAATACCAACTTTAGGATTTCAGCAGTCTACATTAATTCATAATGTCTAGACAATTATGTTCAAAGCCTGAGATACACTCACTTAATCATTTGATCTTCCATTTAGAAAGCAAGTTTCTAGAGTCTTTACGGTTATAAAAGACAGTTTGAAATGCAAACTCTGTAACTTCTGTCGTGATATCTTCCCATTTATGCAAATGGGCTTAAACTGTAATTTTTACAGGTTTTAAACTTTCGTGTGAATTATAGTATCACCGTAAATGTAGTCTTTATTGGACCTCACTGCTAGTACTTCAGCAGAGGTAGGCTTTTCTCTGTTAGGAGGAGAAAAATTTAGTATTTGTCTCATGAGACAGAAATACATGCTGCCAGGTGGGTTAAGTTCTAATGTCCTTCTTGCAACCAGGCCTGATACTTGCAAGGGATAGAAGAAAGTTTTACACCACTGCTTTGCCTATCTAGGGGAATGGTTATCTTCTTTGAGCCTCTTGGGAGGAGGGATGTGTCTTATGCCTTTGTCTTTTGGCTATTTACCTGCCCACAGGTATAAAATGGAGCGTTTGGCAGACACGTTGGAGGCTGGGTGCAGTGAAATGCAAACTGCCGTGAAATATGTCGTACTAATGTCTTTTAAAAAGCTGTACTGTTCCTCTGCTGGACAGATCCTAAATCCATATGCTTTATTTATGCCATGTTTCTTGTTTTCCTGAAAATTCCCAGAGAATTGGTGGAGGCATTATAAAAAATGTGAATGGTAAAGTGGAGAAGAGTATTTAGGAAACAAGTAAAAATGAATTCTCAATAATGGTGTATGCTGCTTCTTTTCCTTGACAGTTTTGTCCTTTTTAAATTTCCGAAGTGCCACAATTCCACTCCAGTTAATGAGATTATGGACACAAACGTACCCTCAGCTTTTTTTCAAACCCTTCTGTAAAAAAGGAGACCAGCTCATTCCTTAAACTCCCCTGTGCTTCCCTCTGAAACAGTATGCTCCTGACCACCAGGCTTTAGAGAATCCAGCTGCTGCTGTGAAATCATATTTCTCCCTGTTGTGCCTCATATGCCTCCCGTTACCTTCCATCAAGTATTTGATTTAATAGAAGGAATTGCCTTCTCCCCACTGAGTCCATCTCATTGTACACTGATCTCTAGTTTATTGCGGTTCCATTAACTGCCAGACATCTCACTCGTCTACCACTACTTGTGTTGCGGGAAGATGATTTTCTCTGTAAAGATCTGAGTCTTTTGCTGAATGGTAGTACATTGGAAAAGTAAAAGTTATGCTTATTACAGAAATTGTCTCAGGTTTTTTTGGAAATTCATGGAGTTTGGGTATATTTTCTCTATATTTAATAGAAAATATGTTTTAGGTAGCTTAAAAACCGGAAGAAATACTTTGTTTTTCAGAAAAGTTGATTGAAGTTAGAGGACAGGATTTTGCAGGTACTTGCAATCCTACAATAAAAATCCTACAGTTTAGGTGCTCTCTGTGTCAGATACCCTTTGATTGATTATACCTCTGATTCCATCTTTAGATAGTAGTGTTTTCTGTTTTGTCTGATAAGTTAGGTCTGGTTATTTCTATTTTACTTACTTTGATTTATTTCATTCAATCTAGGGAACAATTGGCCTGCAAGATGGTGACCCGTTGGTAAGATAGTTGTCCTTTGTTTTTTTTTTTTAAGTAATCTCAGACAATTTTATTCAGCCTATGTGATAGTAACTATGTGGATGCTTTTCCAGTGTCCCAATGCCTGTCCACCTGGCCGCCCAGGACATGCTGGCTTGATGGGAATGAAGGTAAGAGAATCTGTTTGTTGAAGTGCTCCTTACAGAGATACTGTCTCAAAGCACTAGGGAGGGTGATTGCTGTCCTGACAAAAGGGTAGTTTGCTGTTAATTTCAAAAAACCATTGCTTTGTTTAATGAAGCCTACTTTTTAATATGTACCTTTCTGCTTGTGTTGTGCTCAGTCATATAAATGTATATAAAAAAGAATATATAAAAGTGTGGATGCTTAGGGTTATCTCAACTCTTGACTGCCAAAATAACCTCTCATTGTTGAAATCTCTTACTGCTGTAGTAATCTTCAGGGTAAAATTTATGTGTGGTCTTGAAAGGATTAGAGTATGTGAAGAATCGCTTCATTCACTTTCTGGACCATTTGTAGTCTGACTCCAGAAACTCTAAATATCCCCCTGAATCCTTAGTCTCTTTTCCTTCTTTCTCTTTTCCTCGGAGACCTATAATATACTAAATTGAAATGAACACTTTCTGAGTCTCATTTTAGCTAAGGTGGTGTTTGTTTTTTTTTTTTTTAATTTAATCTTTGCTGCTTTCTAGGAATACTGTTGGTCTGAGGAAATTTTTATGGGGTAATATAAGAAGAAATACTACCCTGCCTAGGAGCAGATCTTTTTGAACATGGTACTTAGTATGTGGTGTTAACTAGATAGGTGAGAAAGCAGTGGTGAATGGGGATTGCAGAGGGAACAGCAACATAGTTCTAAGGAGTCTGTGTGTTTCACAAAACTCGGTATTTTAATTTTGAGTAATCTCTATTTATTTATTTATTTTGTTTTTTACATTTATTTAGGGCCAGAAGGGTTCAAAAGGAGAGCCTGGTGAACCAGGAAAACAAGGTTATAAGGTAAAAAAAGAAAAAAAGAAGAGGAAAAACTGCTGTTGTTTTTAGCAAGCTGATAGTAGTTTGTCCTCTTCTTCAAAAACAGTGTTATATTTTGTTAGCACTGTTAATTGTTTTACCAGAATGCATGGAGAATACGTATCATATTGCTCCAGAGTAACCAAAGGCGTATCTCTGTTCTTCATTCACCTGTACTCTGTATTTATTATGATGCAGAAGTCATACTTCTCTAGGTTTTTGTTATGAACATTCTATTTAAGTATTATGGAACTCAGGGCAAAAATTGAAGTAAAATTTATTAATTGGAAAACTTCCAAACATTTAAATGCAGAAGAATTCTGTGGATTTACCAAGTATATTGTTCTGTGGCACAAATGAGTTCTAACAGGAAGATTGAGAGGGGAAAATGTAGAAGAATTCTGTGGATTTACCAAGTATATTGTTCTGTGGCACAAATGAGTTCTAACAGGAAGATTGAGAGGGGACAATGTATTTGAGAGGGAAAGGACACAGTGTAAGTTCATAGAGAAAGAAAAATTATAACTGTAGTAAAGAGGCTAAGTCAAATTCAGCTTGAAGACTGAAATGTGAACTCTTTTAAGGTGTTTCATTTGACTTAGCCTTGTTTAATATTGAAACGTTTGTAAGAAAAGTTGAAAAGATTTGCACTGCCTTGGTCCATGCTTTGATGCTGGAGGAAAAACGTCAGAGGAAAGTTTTCAAAAAACCCCCCCTGCTCTCTATTCCTAAGCATATTGAAAAGAGTATTAACTTATTAGAAACAGCTTGCCTATTTTTTTCCTGTATGTTGAGCAGCTGTCTTATTCTCCAAAATTCCTTTTTGCAAATTAAACTGCCATTAAGTACTGTTGCTCCAGTAGTGTGCACTGTAGTTGTGTAGGAGAGGTTATAATCTAATCAAATAGGGGTTTGACCAGATAAGGCATTTTAGCATTTTAATTTCCAAAAAATTCTGAAGCGCAATGTGGTCTTGTTATGCAGATCTATTAGCATATCCAGTCCATTCACATATAGCAGCATACCTTCCTTACATTTTTACTCTAAAAGAAGAAGAAAACCTAAAAGATTAACATCAAGAAAAAGTGGAGCGATGGATTAAGAGTAAAATATCATTATTCTTTATAGTGGGGTTGCTTTGAAATTACCCTTTTGACTAATAGTTGAGGGAAATGTGAACCTACATGAGTATCTGTCTGTTCTGAGGAAGCAGTGTGACTTCATTTGGATTTCCTTTAAGCAGGACACGGTGACAGAAAACAATAAGAAGTAAATATACCTCCTATGATGAGAGAGCCATTTGCATGGTATGGATTAGCTACAGATGTATTCCTTTTGCTTTCCTAGGGTGAAGAAGGGGACCAAGGACCCAGTGGAGAAGTTGGAGCTCAAGGCCCTCCAGTAAAGTATTTCCTCTTCAATAATGTTACCAATTTGCTTTATTATGTCATGTCTTTTTTTTCTTCTTAGTGTAAGAAAACAGATATTACAAAATCTCCACACACCTTTCTCTTTTTTTCTGCCATATTGTCTCTGAGTGAAAATAGAATTATTTAAGTCCCTCCAAAAAGCTACGTTATTGCTTGGCACAAATCTCTAAATAGTTCTATGGAAAGGCTTATTTTAAAAAGTATTTCATGTCCTAAATTTTGTGTTGTGCTTAGATTGTGCAAATAGTTTGTTTGGTTGGTTTGTTGGGTATTTTTACTTTTTTTTCTTGGTCTTCCCTTTTGTAATTTTGATGACACCAACTTCATCCTTGCAAAGCTAGTGTTTGTTTCAAATATGGTTAACTGTGAAATTCAGGCTTAGTTAAGACTTGAGGATGAAGTAGCAGCCACTGAAGAATGTTTATTATTATTTTTTCTTAAGGTTACTTTTTCTTTTTGTATGCCAAAGAAGCATGCTTCAATCACACCTATGATTTTGGAATGATTTTCTTCACTTGGCTTCTTTGTTCTGGCACATACCTCCTCAGCTTGTTTCCTTATGAGGAGCTCTTCTTATGGTTACCACAGCTGAACAGGCAACAGAGAACAGAACAAAGGGGTCGTTCTAAAAGAGCTAGATGTAACACATATAATGTCTATAGTTTATTTTCTGATGGGGTCTCATGCTTTTTTCCTAGGTGTGAAACTATTTCTTTAATGCCATTGGTGTCCAGATGTGCTATTATACAGGAGCTTATCTTGATGCACATGACATCCGAATCCTAAATTACAGAATTCTCTATGAACATAAAACAGCATAAACCTCTGGATTAGGACTAGAGAAAGATAAAGAAAGAACAGAGACTAAGTAAAGGAAAGGGTGTAAGCCTTCTTATGTTTGATGCTGAAAAAAGTGTCCCTGGTGCAGAGAAAGTACTTGTGTAAGATGCAGTTTCTGCTGTATGAAGGGCCTGTGGGTACCAATTATTTTTAATTCAGTTTGGTAAGGTCCTTCAGTCACTGAGAAATAACGCAGTAGAATTAAAAACCAATTAGAGATGGACTTTCCTTTCTCTCTTTTTTTTTAAATGCATTACTCATTTCACTTCACTGTTTCACCAGTTAATGACCTCACAAACAAGCTTTAAATTAATTGTTTCTTACTAAAATGTAGGATTCATAATATACAGAAAGTGCTGTCAGATAGACAGCCTATGGAAAAGAGGATAGACAATGTTTTAGAGGCACAGCTGGAAAGGCTGTAGGCTCTGTTGTATCTTCTGCAATCCAACACTATGTAATGCATTGACAAGGAGACTTGCGTAAGATGGGCACCTCTGGGAGAGGTGTTTCTTTCTACAGAAAGTAGTGGGTACTGCAATGTGCCTACTTCTATCTCTGATCTTGGAGCAAGTGCTTGAGTCTCTCCCTTGTTGGTCTGCTGTAGTCACTGTTGCATTACCATGATCTTTCTCACGTTTTGAGTTGACACAGCTTTAAATATTCTGTGCAAGATTCCATCTAAATTTGTTAGGAGCAAGTAGAAGGGCTGCCCATCTAGAGTCTCATCAAGGAGTAGGTTTGCCTACGCTGCGTTGAAGTGCCTGTAGCTGTTTCGTTAACACCGTGGTAGCGCATTCTTCTTGTTGCAGGACAAACATGTTGTGGCTGAGGGTTTGGTCTCTCTGCAGAGAGGAGACATATCATGTAGTTTCAGTCTCTCACGAAGAGGAAAAAATTGAAGCCAGATTCCCCACAAGACTGTATTGTGAAGGGAAGTGATGATAGTTATGAAACATCCTGCTGCACTACTGGATGTCTACTCAGTCCAGCCTCTCAGGTGTGCCAGGCATATAAACTTAGCATTTGTATTCTCAAAAACCTTGCCCAATTTTGTCTGCCTCTAGAGTTCTATAAAGTCTGATGGTACCATTCTCCTGCATCTGTTCTATGCCCCACTTAAGACAACTTAGCACTTTTGCAAATCTGGCCTTCACATGTTCCTCTCACACAGGCTGCTCAGGGAGCATGCTTCAACTCAATGGTAATCAAAAAGATAAATCAGTGGGGTTTTTTTAGTCCTTCAGGCGTATTTGTGGTTGTATAATTCAAATGGGTAGTTTTGTTATTCTTTTTTAAAGAAGTCTTAAATTAGTAAAATATCAAATTACCATATAAATTAAATATTCTAATACAGAAGTAGCTGGATTTCTCCTTTTATACAAAGAAAATAGTAAAATAAGCATAAAGAAAGCACGTGAAACTCTGAGACTTCTGTCTCAAAACTAGGACAGTTCTGATGAAAAGGTTTAAGCATAATTTGAACATGCTTTTCATTTTCAGGGCATCCTAGGTATCAGAGGTATAACTGGTATAATGGGACCTAAAGGTACCAAAGTGAGTATTAACCTTTCTTTCTATAAAATGGCCTGGATAAAAAAAAGAAAATGTACACACCTGAATGTTTTTAAAACTTATTTACATTTCATCTTTTTTTCCCTCTGCATTTTTCCCCTCCCACCAGCTGTATTTCCATAGCTACTGTACTTCTGTTTAGGAAGAAAGGCATCTTGATCCTTCTGATTAATGAAGTACATGTACTCTTCACACCTTTCCCTCTGATCCTTGGATTTATAGTAGTTTGGCATGTGTGCAAGTATGTAGTTAGCAAGACATCAAGTTACAGGAGTTATAAACTATAGCATGTTTTTTTTTAAAGCACAAATTTATTAAGTAGTCCCTCCTGTGATTTGCATCTTCTCAAAGCCTTTTGCATCCACTGTCCCAATTTTTACCAGGATTTTTTGCTGAGAATTTGTTCTTTTCCATTTGTTCTGTCTCTTGCATCTTTTGTGTCTTAAATTGCTGCCAGGGGGATACATGTTCATGTGGGCTCTGACTTTGCTGGGTAATTTTCCTGCTGTTCATCAAAATGTTTCTAACAGTTATTTCAAAACTGACTGTATATTTCTATTCTTATGATCTCTCTAAATATATATGGTAAAAATTTCTGGGAGGAGTAAAATGTAGTAATCATGCCATTGTCTCCTTCTCCAGAAGTGAATTCACGGAAACCTTATTCTGTGATCATCTGTGTTCAGAAACAACATCAAATTTGTCCTGACTAAGAAGCTTCTCATGAGTGATTCTTCCTAAGACACATTTGCAAAGCTGTTACTGTCTTACTTTGCTTTTCTGGCCTTCTTTATACCTTCTGATTCTTCATAGTTATTTGCCTACAGTTTTGTGCTGTTTTGTCCATTTGAAATATTTACTACACCTGTTTGACAAAGGAGTTCCTTATTCTCTGCAAATCTTTTTGAAAACATTTTTTTCTCTCCATCTAAAATTGCTTACAGGGTAGCAGTTGCGTGGTTTCCTTGAAAAGTGATAAAAATAGCTGCACTGCACTTGTTGATTTCTGTTCACATTTTGATGCTATTCCATTATGTGGTGAAGGATATAGTATTATTAAAGAAGACACACACATTTTCTGAAGTAGTGTGAAAAGATGTACCTCCTTGCTGTCTGATATGATTTTTTTAGAGAATGACCTGGATGTCATTTTTTGAATGATGTTTTTCTGTAGTTAAAAAATACTGGCCATTGTAACTCCAGAAAAAAAACCTGAGATGGATAAAAAAAGTTGTTTTGTTTTTCTTTTTTTAAATTAGAGCTATAAAAACACCTCAGCTGTAGGGCATTTGTAGCTCCCAGCAAACCAGGAGGGAGCATAAGCTATTAGTGTTTCAGCACTTCATTTTAATGTGTTGTGTTATCTATTTGTTTTGTAGGGAGCTCGTGGGCTTGACGGTGAGCCTGGTCCCCAAGGTCTTCCTGGTGCACCTGTAAGTAGCGTGTGTGTTAGCCAAACAGTTCCCAGTGTCTACACAGTTAGATAAGTTAGATACTAAGTCCTGAAACTTTGTGGCTGTAAATCAGAAAAGCCTCTGATTAATCCAGTTCCATTGATTCCCCACAGGTGAATAAATAATGACAGTGGTGTCCAGTCCAGTATCTCTTACTGTCTCCAAGACATTGTGGGGTAGATGAATACATATTAGCCTCTTAGTATGTTATTGTTACCTCTTCATTCTGAGTGCTACTGTGCATTAGGGTGCCTTGGAATTTTTCAGGTTTTAAACTGGAAAATATTCATTCATTAGAAGAAAACCCATACAGGGCAGGTAGCTGTCAGCTGCAGTTTTAAGAAACTACCTTTTTAAATACAGTATGAGTTTAAGGTGTCTGCTTGAACCAAGTGTGAATGGTACTGTTATTGATTTACTGGAGGTTTTATCTAATAAATGCAAGCAAGTTTATTCTGGTTTTATTGCTAAAATATTTTTTTTTCCCTTGTAGGGAGATCGAGGACAGAGAGGTCCACTGGGAGAGGCAGGTCCAAAGGGAGAAAGGGTGAGCACAAATTTCAACTCATGTTGACTTGCAAACGTTGGTTACTTATAGCATATAAATATACAGCATAGTTGGTACTCTCAAGGTAATGTATATCTGAATGAGTATCTGTTGACATTTTTTGCATTTGTCATTTCAGTGTGTTTATTTTAGTTTTTAAAAATTATTATTATTCTTAGGGCCCTCAAGGTACAAGAGGAATAAATGGTCTCCCTGGGCCTAAAGGAGAGTCTGTATGTATATTTCATTTTTTCATTTGCTTCACATCACGCTAATTTGTATATCAGAGTGCTTGGACAAACTCTCTCCAACAATACATTAATTTTTTTCTTTCTTTTTCGTCCTTTCAAGGGCTTACCAGGAGTTGATGGTCGGGAAGGGATTCCTGGAATGCCTGGAGCAAAAGTAAGGCTTTGCTAGTGCTCTAGATATGTTCACTCATTTGTGGCTTCTTATTGTGCTGCTGCCCGTGACTTTATGCAGATTATTAGGGTGATTGAATGAACTCTCCTGTCCTACAGATCCCGAAGTACTCCAGCTCTGTATTTCAGAAAAAAAATTTTCCCTTTTGTTTGATTTGCATAAATTACAACTTAAAATGTTTTTCAGGGTGAACCAGGAAAACCTGGAGCTCCAGGTGATGCAGGGCTTCAGGGACTGCCAGTAAGTATCTGGTATTTTACCTTTGAAAGTTAGGTTCAGTTCAAACCACAGAAAGGCCACATATAGGTTAGTTCAATGCTGATGTTGGAGTAATTTAAGTGAAACCCTAATCAAAAGGCCCAGGAAGAGTATGTGTATTGCAGGGGGAAATTCTGCTATGTGTATCCAAAACTTTTACACAAAAGCCTAAATCTCATCATGGTACCATAGTGAGGAACTTGGTCTTACAAAACATTGGTGACCAGTATGCAATTCTTTTAGGGCTTCTCGTATCTGAGCCTGTGGATGTTATGGTGTGATTCCACAATTAGAGCTGGTCTCATTGTATTGACTAGGGCCAAACCTATTCCCAGGGTGAGCTGAAGAGCCGACCTGCTAATCTAACATAACTTAAATGAACAATCAGCTCCTTTTGGTGTTCTGCTGGCTCAGAACATCTGGAATGCATCACGTTCATGCTTCTTTCTGCAGGGGGAGTGAGTTTTCTAATGTATCCCCTGTGGTGAAGTTATAGGGACTCAGCAGTGCTTTATGGACTCTTTTAGAAGGTTACCCTCGCACATTAACAGACTAAGTTTGAAAACTGCCAATTGTCAAAAGTTAAATAGAAATTTCTTTGAAACACTGTGCTATAGGAGTAAGTAATTGCTGTGAGGATATAGTGAAGGAGCTGTATTGAAACAGAACTGGAAGTAAATTTGTAATACGAAGTGAGCTTTTAAGCTTGGAAAAAAATTTGGTAAAAGCATACTTGTGGCTGTGGACCAGAAGTGAGGAGGGGATGAAACGTGTCAAACTCTCTACCTCATCTCAGAATGCTGGCACTGAGAATCTATTTCTAGTCTAAGCCAGAAAAAGCCATGGTTCCTCACTTTTCCGTGCTCCTTTTGCCAATTTATGAGGTAAGAATAATACTCCTTATCTGATACTTTGTAAATAGAAATAATTCAAGCTTGGTCTGTTATTGCCTAAAAGTGCTTCAATATCAAGGACTAGAAATACTTTAACACGAAGACATTTTTAACAGCATTTCCAATCCCCTTAACAACAAATAAACACTGTAAATGTTACTTCTTTCA